CGCAACACACGAAAACGCCCGAACCATTGAAGCCTTGGCGCCCTTGGAAGAAGAAATCGGATGAGAAGAGTGTCACGGAAAAACTGCTTATACCTTTGCCTGTGCCGCATCCAGTGCATATTGCAATTGCCATACATAATCGTGACACCGAAAACCCCATACCACTGGACTCAGAGCTCGTATGGGAAATCCTCAAATCGATTGAAGATTGTCAGGGCGGTGATGTGATGGTAAGTTTGCCAAGCTTAAATAAATTTGTATATGTACATCTGATTTATCTGAACTTATTTTCGTTTGCGCTGCAGGCCGTGCAATCAGTTGCGCGCTATCGTGGCGCTGTGACTGAATCGAGCAATGACTCCCTGGCCACCAGCAGTAGCATTGGCAGCACACGGGATTCCGGCTCCGGTTCGGGCATCGTAGGCAATGGCACCGAAACCTTGCCATGCGTCAATCGCGAGGTTAGTTGAAGGCCGAGTGTGTGCAGTTTTTTTTTTTTTAATAAATCATTTGTCTTGCATTAGGTTTGCACGCAGGTGAAGGTGGCGGAGGAGCCAGTACAATCGTCTGGCTTCCATTGGACACTCAGTAACTGGGGTGCAGCGCAAACGGCGCGTCGGCGCACCAACTCAAATGTGCGCGTTGATTTGGCGAGTCCCGAAGATATCTCACTAGACACCGATAGTTCGCGCGCCGTCTTCAATCCCTACGGTACAACAGTTTAGATAGATGGCCAGTGATACAAATACCTACATATGTATGTGAACAGCTATAAAATGATAATGCCATATTTTAATTTGCATATAAATTGAAATTATGTTTTATAAGAAGTGAACAAATTTGGAATTGCTGTGCGACGAAGTGGCAGCATTAAGTTGGTCAAACAACGATTGGTAGCAAAAGCATGTAATGACGTGCATATGCGTATTCTAAAAGCATCAGCATATACATACATACATTCATATACGCAAGCGTATGCAGCTCATATGCATACCTTCATATATATACATACATATAAAAGTGAATACATGGTAGTTATATATAATTATACAGGCGAATATACATATATATTTGTATGACTACTTTATACATACATTATACAATAGAAAATAGGCATTCATACATGCATACATATAGCTGTAAAGTACGGCCATATGTACATAAAAGGCATCTAGTCGTGCGAACAAGATAAAACAATATGAAAACCATGAAAAACTTTTTAGTCAGTTTAGGGTTTTTTTGTTTTTGTAATTTGGTCAGTAATGGCAACAATTTCTCGAAATTGTATATATCTAGAATTTTTCGTTATTTTTACAGTTCACTGAAGAAAATCGTTACCCTAACATAGTAAGGCCCCTAACTCATCTTCCTTTCAAATCCAGGAGGTCTACTCTGTATTGCAATTCAAAAAGCAAATCATTCGAATACTTGAATCTAGGAATTTGTATTAGCCTCTGCCGCCTCTCGAATTGCATTGAGTGTCGAATCACAGTACAGTGGGTCTCACTCAGCATTGTACAAAAGTGTGTCGATTGCTCACTAAAAGCCCATTAGATTTAAAAAATAACTACAATAAAATTAGTTACATGCTAGAATAAAAACAGTCTTCAAAAGAAATTCACAGCAAAAGGACTTCATTTTCTATGGAGTTTTTACATCACTCCGTAAAGAAAAAGACGTAGATAAGGCCTTTCTATATTAAGGGGAGCGAAATACAGCTTTTGCAGCTGGCCTATCGATTTTATATTGAAAAAATACGATTTTTTTTACACATTTTCATGATTCAACTGTGTTTATGCATTTATATATTAATAAAATGGATTTTTTTTTTTTATTTTTTGCTTTCAAATCGTAATTATATTCGTACATAGAATTCGTTTTGATAATTTATTATTAGAATTAACATTAATTTGTTAGTTTGTTACTACTTAAAATGTAAATCTCATTTCAATTTTTGGTTGCGTTCTTATAAGGGCGTCTTGACTACGGCTAGATAATAGATTTAGTTCACTTGACTTTTTAAAAGCAATCATACACGTGTGTAGTTATTGCAAGAAATAGTATTTTGCTTATTTGTTTTCTGATAGAGGGAAATAACGACGACTTATGGAAGTGTATTCAAAGAAGACCAATGGATGGAGAATATTGTATGATAATTTAAATTGAATGATTGTGCAGTGGAAGATTTGGTTAATAATATTTGAAGATGAGTGAAGAGAGTGAAGTTTCCGTACTTTCTAAAGTAAATAAAGTATTTTCAATTAAACATATAAAAATAAGTGTAAATGGATCAAGATTTTTAGGAGGTGTGGTGTTTAGTGAAACGAAATGTATTCATTTGATGAAATAGATTAGCAGAGTTCTGACGGCATTAATATTTAGTTGAAGTTTTAGCAAGACTGTCTTAATGTTAAACTAAAATAAATTAAAAAAAAAGACGCAATAAACACGTGTATACAATTAAGTGAGATATTCGAGTTCAATTCAATAAAAT